ACATAAAAAAACAAACACACACACACATACTATCCCGGACATGTGACTGTCTGTGTGTGTGTGTGCTAAGGTAACCTGGTGTGTCTAACTGGCCCCAATTCCCTACGGCACCATACACCTCCTCCCTTGATGCTTAAACTCTGTACTTACATCGAGACTCTCAACCCCCAGCCTAAAAAAACGTCATCATAAACTGGTCAATGATTCCGTTAAGTCGCCGTTATATATATAAAAAAAAAAACACCTCAGGGGAAAAAAACATGGTCAGTTGAGTCAAGAAAGGACGAACATTAGACTGACTTCAACCAGCCACAAAATCTCTCTACTTGAATGAGGGAATCTCACATTTTGTATTCAAGTAAGTAGATCTTCTTGGGGGGGGGGGTGGGATTCTGGACTTATTACTGCACCAAAACTTAGCCCTGTATCGTGTAAATCTCTCTCTCTCTCTCTCTCTCATTTATCCATCAATTTATATTATTCCTCTCATCACTCTCACCGTCCAACGTGGCAACAGACTTGATCAAATCCTGGACACACCACCACCAATACTACTGTCCTCCTACCTACCACCATCACCCCTATTGTCCACCACCATCCTACTATCCAGCACAACCACCATCCCCATTCAACTAACCACCACCCCCTACCAACCATTATCACACCCTGGGATAGAACCCGGATACCCTGATTGTTGTGTGAGTCTCTCTACCACACCACCACCACAGTTTAACTCCCCTACTTGAACATCACCACTGGCCAGGACTCGAGGCCGTCACCACCACCCACACCTATATCAATGGTGAGGCATCAACCCGGACTTACTGCAATTATTACCTGTACACACACACACACACACACACACACACACACACACACACACACACACGTGATAAGGCAACTACCCGGACTCATTTTAACAACAATAACATCCTGGGTGATTAAGTCGCCATCCCGGAAGCTTAGTCGTCGCAAACCCAGACCCCGGGGGCAGGTTGGGTCTAGAACCTTCCCCGGGTCGCCGTTAGGTAAATGCCAAACACACACACTCTCGACCTGGGCCAGTCACCGCCACACAGGTAAAGGGGCCGGACTGTCACCCGCAAAAGGCCTCTCCTTCTGAACCCATGAACCCCGACTCGTGAACCCAAAGCAGTAGACTGATATATTATATTCTGTCCATAAATGCTTCGGGTTCATGAGTCTGACTCTCGGGGTTCACACCGGAGAGGCGACAGGTCTCTTGTGGGTGACTGTACCTGAAGTAGGCCAGGGAGGAGGGGGAAAGATCAAGGAGGTGGAGCCGTGTAAACCAGAGTGGGATGAGGGCGAGTAACGTGTGCCTCGGGGGTGGGTTAAAAGGGCAGGGGGTAGGTTACAGGGTGGGGCAAGAGGGTCACGAGGTGGGGCAGTAGGTGGTGGCGGCGGTGGGCGGAGGTGACCGTGTTACTGAGCAACCTCCGGCCCCCGTAGGTCGAGAGGCACCGTCTTCACTCTCTACCTCCCTCCACCTACTTCTTACCTCGCCGCTCCCTCCCTCCCTTCACCCAACACTCGGGCTTGTTCATAACCCTCACCCACCGTCCGGGTACACGAGGCTCACCAAGGTTAATTAGCCCAGCACACACACACACACACGGGAGGGCCCAATACCACCCACCCACCTACAACTTAACCACCCACATATTCCCCGTGCCAACTGCCACCCTCCCCCACTATGCACACCTGATCTTGGAGGCAGTGATCACAGGTGTTTTAACGCCTCTCTCTCTCTCTCCCTCTCTCTCTCTCTCCCTCTCTCTCTCTCTCTCTATCGCTGTTTGTTTCTCTCACCACAACATCGTAATAAAGCTCCAGGACCACAAAACAATCCTTCCTAGTTGAAAATTTCACTTAAAAATAAACCAAATGTCGAAGTATCATCCCCACAAACTGACACACACAAACAAGTCTTGTAAATCTATCCCCAGAAACACATACAGGAGATAAACATACAACAACAAGCAGTAGGAATGTCGAAACACATCCAACAAACATACATACATACAGTCTGTGTGTGTGTGTGTGTGTGTGTGTGTGTGTGTGTGTGTGTGTGTGTGTGTGTGTGTGTGTGTGTGTGTGTGTGTGTGTATGTGTGTGTGTGTGTGTGTGTGTGTCTGTCTGTCTGTGTGTGTGTGTCTGTCTGTCTGTGTGTGTGTGTGTGTCTCGCCTTCATAAGGTCTGCTTGTGACCTGGAAGCCTTACAAAATACCAAGTGACAAGAACGCGACCCTAACCACCTGAAGCCAACTAACACACGCATATGCTCATTAAGGTCAGGTCAGGTCAACTAGGTGTCGTATATTTACCCTTTGAGAAGAGGATTCCAAGACCGCGCACAACACTTACACCTCTGGCCAGCCATACACACTACACTACACCTTGAACTACCTCTACACCCTGAACGACTGTACCAATCACCACTAACTGATGCACTACACCCAAACTACTACACCCAACACTACACGACCATATCAGCCACAGGAACAGCGTCAATTAATCAAAACAATAACAATAACAACAACAACAATAACAACAACAACAATAATAATAATAATAACAACAACAATAATAACAATAATAATAATAATAACAGTAATGACAACAAACATTAGAATAATAACAACAACAATAATAACAACAGTAATAATACAACTCACTTCAGGTTTTAAGCCCCACGCGATAATGAAAATCACACACACACACACACACGCGCGCGCGCACACACACACAACTAACTAGGTCAATACAGCGACCCACACCTGACACACCTGCAGTCACAAACAGGCGAATGTGGTGACACGCACAAAAACTAGAACGCCCCCAGCCAGCTCGCGCCGCATAACTTAATTCGCTAATCATTTTAATAGCATTCTAAGGCGGGCTATTCAGGTCAGGTCATCTCGTTAACAACCCTCTCAACTATATGATGGTACAGTAGTTGATTAATTAAGGAAGATACTAGCGTTAAGTCCTCAGTAATATTCCTATTATCATAGGTAACGATTCTTCTGGTGACCCCAAAACCTTAGTTAACTCACCCCACCCCCAAGTTTCCTCTCCATCTATCACCCCCAAGTTTCCCTCTCCATCTATCACCTCAAGTTTCCCTCTCCATCTATCTTCCTCAAGTTTCCTCTCCATCTATCACCCCTCAAGTTTCCCTCTCCATCCTATCACCCTCCAAGTTTCCCTCTCCATCTATCACCCCCAAAGTTTCCCTCTCCATCTCTATCACCCCCCAAGTTTCCCTCTCCATCTATCACCCCTCCAAGTTTCCCTCTACTCGACACACAACCTTTACCTCCTGACGATACAGTGTGTGACGCTCGACCTCCTGACGATACAGTGTGTGACGCTCGACCTCCTGACGATACTGCTGTGCTGCTCTTTGTTTACACCACGTCCAGCTGATCGCCTAACTACGTCATGGGCATCTGGTCACACCCCCACCCCCTGCCTAACTACGTCATGGGCATCAAATTTACCCACCCCCCACCTGCCTAACTACCTCATGGGCATCTGGTCCACACACCCCACCCCCTGCCCCTAACTACCTCATGGGCATCAAATTTACCCCCCCCACCTGCCAAACTACCTCATGGGCATCTGGTCACAAAATAATAATACTTTCACCCTAAACCTACACCCCACATATTAAAATACTCTGTTACTTATTAATAACCAAACCTTATACATTTTTCCTCTCGTCTCCAAATTCCGTAGACACACACAACTTAAAATCTGTTTTGTTTTACATGACGTCAGCAGATTGCCTCGCCTAGCTCTAAGGAGGTGGGTGGGGGAGGGTGGGTCAGATGTTGTGTAGGAGGTGTGGGTGGATGGGGGTTTAAACTTGGGTAGTATACGTATACACAGGTGCAATGACAAGGTGGGGGGGTAAAGAGGAGGATAAAGAAAGAAAGGTTAAAGCGAGTGGTGAAACTGAGGAGAAGAAAACTGGGGTGATAAGGGAAGATAGGTGAAGGGGTGAGCAAAAGAGGTGAGATACTGAGAGGCCTGAAGAGGTGATAGATGGAGAGGGAAACTTGGGGGTGATAGATGGAGAGGGAAACTTGGGGGTGATGGAGAGGGAGTTAACAGGAACTAGTGTGTCGGGCGCTGGGACAGGTGACTTGAGTAGGTCACCTGTACCGCATGATGTGGCGGTCCATGCAGGTGGTGACAGCTGCGGTAGTGGTGGGAGTGTGGTGGTGACTTATGGTGATGGTGACAGTTGTGGTGTGATGGTGGTAGTCTGAAGAAGTATGGTGGTGGTGGTGGTGGTGTGAGAAGCCAGTGTAATTAGTGGTGGTGATACGGCTATCACAAACAGGATGACTGCCTTATCTTAATGCCACCCCTCCCCGGAATCTGACATCACCACTGCCAACACAATATACTGCTACTACCAACATACACACCATTCCCAACACTACCACAATTACACCACTATTATTACATAACAGACCCAGCCAGCCAACTTCCCCACCTCCAAAAAAAAACAATAAAAAATAAATATATACTGTATATATACTACCAACACTTCCCAAACTTACCAAAACACATGTGTCTGCACCAACATACCTGACACACACACACACACACCTGCCTCAACTCACCCAGAAATCATTACAACACCACAACCACAAGATATATACATAATAATTCACAAGGAAATAATAACAAAAACCACCAATAATTATCTAATGGTGTGGAAATTGTACTCATAAACACACTTAATATTTTCAATCGATAGTCGATACTGGATCTGATTATGTCAACAATGGCGTGAAGCATAGAAGGCTCTGAGGCCGTTTTATATAATAGCTAAATCATATATATTTTTTCACACTATTGCCACCACACGTATTATTAAAACCACAACGTCGATATTTTTCTTTCTTTTCTATTAACACACACACTATAGCACATCTCTCCCTGCCAGCAGTAACGTATACCTCCGCACGCCACACTCTCTCTCACGCGACTGTCAACACTACCACATGTCCTGTTCCACCATCCCCACACTCACTCTCTCTCGTTCCTATTGGTCACCCCTGGAAGCGCGGGATTGGTCAACTTCGATCATGACGTCACGTGCGCGCTCGCTCATTGGTAGAAGGGGAACATGACGCTCTGGTTTATCGTTATCAGACGCTGCGTAGGACCCCTGCAGGAGCGGGTGTGAGTGTCTAGGTGTGTGCGAGTGTCTAGGTATGTGTATGTGTCCAGGGTGTATGTACTGTGTGTCTCGTTGAGTGTATGTGTTTGTGTGTATGTGTATCTAGGTGTGTATGTGTCTAGGATGTGTGTGCATGTGTCTAGGGCGTGTACGTGTGTATGTGTGTGCGTGTGTCTAGGGCGTGTAAGTGTGTGCGTGTGTCACGAAGCGTCAATACTTTCGAGTTAGCCCGAGTGCATACCGAGGGAGACAAGCACCAACGCCGGAAAGACGCTGCCACCGCCCCTCCCGCACTAGATGTAGCCCCCCACATGTGCTACATCTATGAACGACTCTGCCGGTCCCGTATCGGCCTCTTCAGTCACCTCAGAACTCACCAACCTAGGCAACATCCCTAATAACTCATACCATTGTATCATAGCTGGATGATCGTCATACTCGATTTCGTGTGACAGCAAAGTAGTAGTAGTAGTAGTAGTAGTAGTAGTAGCGTGTGTCGATCAGTTCAGTGAGGGGCGAGAGATGGGAATGCACCAGAGAACCTATGGGGAGATGTTATGATCGTGTGTGTGTGTGTGTGTGTGTGTGTGGCTAGTGTACATGTGACTGTTGATCGTGTACATGTAACTGCGGTTCGTATACATGTAACTGCGGCTCGAATACATGCGACTGAGGCTCGTGTACATGTGAGCGTGGTGTACTGAGTGTGGCTGTGGCGGGTGCACATGAGGCCCGCCAGCCTCCTGCAGGAAGGAGAGAAACTATTGACCAGGGAGGCTGGCTGGCGCACCGAGCCCTCGCCTCCTGCACCCTCGTCAAATACTGGCGAAGGGGGACCCAACCCCTCCCCCTAAGCTTATTTCACCCAAAGCTTAACCACTCTAACACTACTTGGGGGGTTAGGTTAGGTTAATATTTAGGTTAGGTTAGGTTAATATTTAGGTGAAATAATCTGGGGAGATATTCTTCGTGTGATCCAATAGCTTGTACCAGGGAGGTTCGATTAGGGTTAGTTTAGATTAGGGTTGGGTTAGGTTAGATCAGGGTTAGTTTAGATTACGATTAGGTTAGGTTGGGTTAGGTTAGGAGTAGTTTCTGTTTATCATAGGCTGTGTCAGACCTGTTCCTAAACATCATCATCCTGGAGGCCTCTCTCTCTCTCTCTCTCTCTCTCTCTCTCTCTCTCTCTCTCTCTCTCTCTCTCTCTCTCTCTCTCTCTCTCTCTCTCTCTCTCTCTCTCTCAGAACTGCATCGTATTCGAGAAGCAGATGTGAGGAAACACCCTCTTCCTCCCCCCGCCCCGCCCCTGGAGGATGTGTGTGTAGAGGGACGGGGCGGGGTGGGGGGTAGTTCAGTGGGTGAGTCACAACACAACTGTCCCGACTCCTGCGGCGTTTAATCTGCTCCACCATTACCACCACTACTTCTACCACCACCATTACCATCACTACCACCACCACCATAACCACTACTACTACCCTCATCACTACTACCACTACCACCTCTACTACCACCGCAATAACAACCACCCACTACTGAACATTTGGTTGATTCAAGTTAGGTCAGGTTAATTATAAGGTTGGATGTCATGTCAGGTGTGGTTAGATTAAGTTTGAAAAATAAAATAAATATATAAAAATAATAATGATAATCCACAGCAATAAACTGCAAGCATCAGCAGACAACCGGGACAAATTCCCTTAGTTTTTCTGAAGGTAAACCTACAGAAGCATGGTTCCTGTATACTATATTAGTGTTGCTGCGTCACCCACCCCTTCAGGCAACCCCCCTCCCACCCCCCCCCCAAAGGACCCTCCCTCCCACCCTCCAAGTAAGATTGTGTTTTTCCCCTAATTACCGAGTCAGATTTAATTACGATACATGTTCACCTGTTTAATGATGTCTGAGTCCCTGTTTGACGTAATTACGATATATTTTCCCTATCTTAATGGTCCCTGAACGTAATATCTAAGGTGGTAATTAACGATAAAATGCTTCCTGAATATTGGCGCCTGAACGTACAGTATGTATCTAATTTACCTACGATACTTAACTGACTCACTGAAGCTACGATACAAAGATCAATTATATACTGTACTACGACGATACTTATTTACGCTACGACGCAAAAAAAACGTAATTCTCAAAAGTTCGCTCGCTACGTTCAATTTCTCCCTCTGCCCTGCCCCGCCCCGCCCCGCCCCGCCCCGCTAACGTAAGATTGTGAGAACTGCATCTGACGCACAGAGACTCTTACGACACCAAGAAGGATTTGTCTAAAGTTCACGAGGTAATTATTTCCTCAAACTCAAGACAAATTGAAACAGTCAAATGTACCTCAACTAAAAACTTACGACACAAAGATGGGAGGATAAAATGGCGTCATTTTTACATCGTGACTATACTATAACAATATGGCGTTTTTTCCCCCCACCCGTTCGGAAAATACTGAAGGTAAAAATCGCTCTGAAGAAGGATTAAAGGATTTGGAGATTTATAAACATTCCTTAAATAATAAGTTTCTCTAGTTACTGGCGTCTAGTGAACGTATCCAGTTAATGTTCAGAGACTCTGTGCCACATTACAGATACATTGGATCACCTAACATAAGAAACATAAGAAAATAAGGAGTCTGCAAATGGCACAGTTAGGGTGATTAAGCTTTCGGTGAAGTAAGCTGAGTTGAAGATTCGTCAGTATTTCCAAAAGGTATGAGTTGACGACACGACACGACACAACAGAGTAACATCTAGCTCCTGGTCAGTTTGTACCCCTCCCTCACCTTCCTCATTCACAAGAAATAACAAAAACAATGTTGGCGATGATGATTTGAATTATAACACTTAATTACAATGAAACAGGGTTGATAACATGAACAACACCAAGAATATAACAAAAACAACAATAATAATAACAGAAAATAACAATAATAACATCAATAAAAATAAATAACTGCAATAATAACAATAGCAATGGAAACAACAATAATAGCACTAATAACAATAACAATAACCACATAACTAGTAAATCAACACGAACATCAAAATTATGTATATATTAAAAAAAATAAAATAAATAAATAAATAAAAATCACCACTTTACACACACACACACACACACACACACACACACACACACACACACGCCCAAACCACAACGCCTTAGTAATACTGTATTTAGCTCACCAGTCACCCCACTGTACTTAACCATACAATAAAGTTGAATTAAAATCAGTTGTAAATAATAAATCAATATATTTTACAGTAAACTAATGAGACACAAGTGATTATCAGGTATAATTAAAAAAGTAAACAGGATTTATAAACTTCAAACAAACAATAAAAAGTAAACAACATTCTTTATAAGGTCCATCAAACAAACAAACAAACACTAAAAGTAAACAACAGGTCTTTATCACGTCTGGCTCACCACCACAACCTTCAGCTGGAGTACAGGAACACACTTGGCCACCTGACTCACTGTACCTATTATTATTATTATTATTATTATTATTATTTCCAATGGTATAAGCACTAAGGAATCAATATCAATAATATTTGTTTTTATTAATGATAATTTTTTTTACTATTGTTGCTATTAGTAATAGTAGTAGTATTATATTATTACAGCTTTGATGATGATTAGATATTGTTATTATTGTTATTATTATTATTATTAGTTAATTATCAAAAGCAGTGGCGTTGTTACTTCATGCCATAACAAAACACAATAAACCCGACCTATTATACCACAGTTACGTAAAACCCACACATAATGGCGTTACAGCGACGTCAACAATAACAACCAGGATGTGACCAGCGTGGACACCAGTGGTTGTAGGTCAAACGGGCCTCTGTTCTAGTAGGCCCCAACACCTAAATTGAACATTAAGACTGGGGGAAGGGTGCTATTATGATTGGGGCCCAATAGCATTGGGACTTGTCTCGTTAGGTTGGGCCCAGAAGGACGGGGAACCACCCATGCGAATAGTCAGCATACCAGCACGAGGCCCGGCGGGCAGACCAAGAGCAGGAGGTTTCCGGAAAGCAGCGGTAACGCGCACGCGCGCGCACACGCACACACACACGCGCGCGCTACATCCAGATATTACTGCCTAACTAATACAGCGCGATACAAATTATTGCAGTATTAGTTAGTGAAATGGGAATAAGCTTTTAATGGATTTTGGGGGCAGTGTGTGTGAGTGTGCATGTTAAGCCTGCGTGAAATTTGTATGGTAATGATAATACTAAATTAATATAGATCTGTTAGAAGTCTTGTTAGTCAAGTATACTCCAACACAGGGGGTGAATTTATCCCGCTGCACATATGATACTAGCTTACAGCACAGGGATAGCCGGATAGATGCCACAGATAAGCGTACCTCCCTCCTTCCCTCCCGCCATTCCGGCCCACTCACCATTACACCCAAACCAAAAATCCCCAACACGATTCCTTAACTTCATAATACATGTAAGTTAAGAGCAAAAACCACAATAACCAACAAGAAACAAAACAGGATTTGGAATTATGCAACATTCGCAAGAAAACAACCGCAGCATCTAGTGAGACGATAACAAAAGCTGGGGATGACATCATGGTGATGTGACGTCATCTCCGCGCAGGTGGGGGGGGGCCGGCGCGCGCACAGCCGCTCAACGGATACTCCACCACACCCTTAATTTATCCTCTACAACTACTCTATTTCCCTTTAACCTTGAAGATTTACTATAAATATACCCTAGAGATCTACTTCCACGAACACAATACCTCTGGAGTACGGTACATGGTAGTGAACGGATCAAGCATGCCACGATCGTTACGCCTCCATATTTG